GGGGAAAATGGGGATGGGGAGGGGGGAATGGGGGAAAAATGGGGAAAAAAATGGGGAAAAATGGGAGTTTGGGGAGGGAAAAATGGGGATTTTGGGCAAAAACGGGGGTTTGGGAAGAAAAACGGCGATTTTGGGCAAAAACGGGGATTGGGGAGGGAAAATGGGGAAAAAAACGGGGGAAAAATGGGGATTTTTGGGGCAAAAACAGGGAAAAAAGGGGGTTTGGGGAGGGAAAAATGGAGGGGGGAAAATGGGGATTTTGGGCAAAGAAAAAGGGGGTTTGGGGGGAAAAATGGCGATTTTGGGCAAAAACAGGGAAAACGGGGATTGGGGACGGAAAATGGGGATTTTTGGGGCAAAAACAGGGAAGGAAGGGGGAAAAAAACGGGGGGAAATGGGGATTTTTGGGAGAATTTGGGTGGATTTTGGGCTGCATTTAGAGAATTTGGGATTTTGGGCTGAATTTTCGGGATTTTGGGCTGGATTTGTGGGATTTTGGGGTTTTAGGATTTCGGGCTGGATTTTGGGCTGGATTTGTGGGATTTTGGGGTTTTTTTGTGATTTCGGGCTGGATTTTGGGTGGATTTTGGGCCGGATTTTTGGGATTCTGGTTTTTTTTTGGATTTTGGGTTTCTTGGGCCGGATTTTTGGGATTTTGGGCCAGATTTTGGGGATTTTGGGTTTCTTGGGCCGGATTTTTGGGATTTTGGGGTAGATTTGTGGGATTTTGGGCTGGATTTAGAGGATTTGGGGGTTTTGGACTGGATTTTTGGGATTTTGGGTGGATTTTGGGCCAGATTTTTGGGATTTTGGGGTTTTTTTGTGATTTCAGGGTGGATTTTGGGCCGGATTTTTCGGATTCTGGGTTTTTTTGGGATTTTGGGTTTCTTGGGGCGGATTTTTGGGATTTTGGGCCGGATTTTGGGGATTTTGGGGTAGATTTGTAGGACTTGGGGCTGGATTTCAAGGATTTTGGGTTTTTTGGGCCGGATTTTTGGGATTTTGGGCCAGATTTTGGGGATTCTGGTTTTTTTTGGGATTTTGGGTTTCTTGGGCCGGATTTTTGGGATTTCGGGTGGATTTTGGGGTAGATTTGTGGGACTTGAGGCTGGATTTTTTGGATTTTGGGTTTTTTTGGGCCGGATTTTTGGGATTTCGGGCTAGATTTGTAGGACTTGGGGCTGGATATTTTGGATTTTTTGGGCCGGATTTTTGTGATTTTGGTGTAGATTTGTGGGACTTGAGGCTGGTTTTTTTTGGATTTCGGGTTTTTTGGGCTGGATTTTTGGGATTTCGGTGTAGATTTGTGGGACTTGAGGCTGGTTTTTTTTGGATTTTGGGTTTTTGGGCTGGATTTTTGGGATTTCGGTGTAGATTTGTGGGACTTGAGGCTGGTTTTTTTTGGATTTCGGGTTTTTTGGGCCGGATTTTCGGGATTTCGGGTGGATTTTGGGGTAGATTTGTGGGACTTGAGGCTGGATTTTTTGGATTTTGGGTTTTTTGGGCTGGATTTTTGGGATTTTGGGCCGGATTTTTGTGATTTTGGGGTAGATTTGTGGGACTTGGGGCTGGATTTTTTGGATTTTGGGTTTTCTGGGCCGGATTTTTGGGATTTCGGGCTGGATTTTGGGGATTTCGGGGTAGATTTGTGGGACTTGAGGCTGGATTTTTTGGATTTCGGGTTTTTTGGGCCGGATTTTTGTGATTTTGGGGTAGATTTGTGGGACTTGGGGCTGGATTTTTTGGATTTCGGGTTTTTTGGGCCGGATTTTTGGGATTTTGGGGTAGATTTGTGGGACTTGAGGCTGGTTTTTTTTGGATTTTGGATTTTTTGGGCCGGATTTTTGTGATTTTGGCCTGGATTTGGGGTTGATTTTGGGACTTGGGGCTGGATTTCAAGGATTTTGGGTTTTTTGGGCCGGATTTTGGGGATTCTGGTTTTTTTTGGGATTTTGGGTTTCTTGGGCCGGATTTTTGGGATTTTGGGGTAGATTTGTGGGACTTGAGGCTGGATTTTTTGGATTTTGGATTTTTTGGGCCGGATTTTTGGGATTTCGGGTGGATTTCGGGGTAGATTTGTGGGACTTGAGGCTGGATTTTTTGGATTTCGGGTTTTCTGGGCCGGATTTTTGGGATTTCGGGTGGATTTTGTCCCTTTCTGGCCCCCAGCCCCCAAATCCAAGCACAGCTCCAGCGAGGACGAGGCCGACGGCGACGCCCAAGGGACCAAGGGGACAAAAGCCACCGGGGCCACCGGGGCCACCAAGGCCACCAGGAGCCGGCGCGGGAGGAGCTCGGACAGGGACAGGGCAGGTCAGGGGATTTTGGGGCGATT